GAGATTGAAATTGTCAACAGCTTTATCTTGCGTGGTCCACAATTAACATCCTTGGTACGAGTAGTCAGGCAATCAGGAGACAATTGCACTGGGAAAATCTACAGTTAGGGATATTTGCAAATGAGATGTAACGTCAGTTTGAAGACTAAAGTGTTCTGAATCAGGCCATACTATTTCGGATTACTAATTATGCTTCTGATACCTGGACGGTAAATAAGGATGACAGAAAAAGAATTGACGTCCTGGAGCTGTTGGGTTGGAAAAAAGCATTGAACATAACATGGGCCGCCAAGAAAACAAACAGGTCTGTTTTGGAGAGGGTGAAACCAAGTTTCTCCTTGGAGGCTACGAATTTGAAGCTCCATCTCACATACTATGGGCACATAGGTAGGAAGAACCAGTCCTCGGAGAAGGACATCATGTTCACAAGGTGGAGGGACAGCATGGGAAAGGAAGATACCAGATGAGATGGATTGATACAGTAACTGGGACAATGGGGGTAGGTGTGTTGGAGTCAGTACAACTGTCTTAGGACAAGGCAAGGTTCAGAGCTGTTGTACATAGGGTCGCTATGAGTTGTTTGTCACTTGACAGCACATAACAACAATAAAAATTACTATCAGATTACGGGGAGCTCTGGTGGCCTAGTGGCAAGGAGCTGCAACTACAATCCCAGAGGCGAACGGTTTGAATCCACCAGATGCTCTGTGGGGGAAGGAGGGACAATCTCCTCCTGTACCAGTCAGATCTGATTTGATGGTACACACACAAAAATAGTAAAATAAAAATAATTACTATCAGATTAGTTTATAAATACACTGAAATAGATGAAGGAAAGAACTATTTAAAAGGAATATATGACTACACATTACCATGTGACAGCAACCCAGAATAAGAGTTCCATTACAAAGAGGACTAGGGGGACGGAAGAGAGAGGTAATTGTGCAATAGTAAATGAATATTTTAAAAAAATCTGGGGAAGGGAAAGGGAGGGAGAGGGGATAAAGTAAAATGTGCAGCAATGAATA